CGAATTAATGTATCTATTTGACGGTGTTATTTACGATTGATTGCGATAAAATTGTTATCGTTTATATCTATTTCTAACGCGATTTTTTTATTAAACGGACGGCTAGAAATGGCTAGTCGAGTTCAGCTGTTTCAAAAACAATTTTAGAGTCATGGCCGACGACCAGGAGATTTGAAACACACCGTCAAATATTTCCAATATTCTTTGAACAAAATCGGGACACCAGCAGGATTTTCCGGTCAGTTAGAAGGCATCCTAAATGCGATAAAAGGTTAAGCGGATTCTCTGACTGAAATGAGGTCTGAGGTTAATTCTTTGAAAAGACCTGCAGTTACCTCGTAGGAAACATGTTCGACACGTTTTTGTGCGAGCCATGATTCATATTCAGATGATGTGAACGTCGGAAACTTTTTCACAAAATCGGGTGTCACCGACGAAAATGATAACGATGCATTCTGCATGATGGATTTCTTCTAGGATGATTTAGAAACATGAGCGACGATAAGTGACAAACTAGCCACTTAAAGCAATAAGGCTTTGCATGTAAAATCGAAAGAAGAAACATTAAAGGAAATTTTTGATGATATAGGAGGCCTAACAATGCCGATTGTCTACAGGTACCTTTGTCGAATTATCAGTGGTGGCAACACTTGCCAAATCAAGTCAAAGCGAAGGATTTTCTGTTGCAGAGTACGCAGAAACATTTTTCGTCTGCTTTGGTACCAGTATTGAAGGCTATGGATGAGTTAAAAACAGATGGGCAACCAAAAATGAAAGAGTTGATTTGAGACATTTTCAAACTGTTTACCAACGCCTTTCTCGCCACTTCTCCTGAAGGTGCTACGTGACAGGATAAAGAAAGAACTCCTCCCGCTTTATTGACCAATTTGTACAGCAAATCCTTTAGCCACTCATCTGTTTGGCGATGAAGTAAATGAAGAACTTAAAAGGTTTCGGGACAATTAACAACAGCTTATTTCCAGGCGGGCTTTTTAGGGAAATGCCAGGACATGTCGTCCCTGGTAACAAACGAAAACATGCGCTCAACTCACAGGCCAACTTGAATCTTAATCAACAGCGACGACGTTAACATCAAACCTACAGATCAAAATTCAGAAAAAGAATACTTTCCTTTCAAGAGCACATAAAAATAATATTTGAAGTAATTTACCATTATATGAAATATTCCTTTACCCGGATTAATTCTCAAACAATTTACGGGCGGCGAAGATCAGAATGGCGGTGAATGAGGGGAAGAATAACCAAGGATAAATGAATTCGAGAAACTGTAGGCGGTTATCGTGTGCAACAAGCAATACAGTTTGAAAAATCAAGGAATAATATAAGTGGCAAACGAAAACTTGGACGGAGAATACATTTCGAACATAAGACTAAAATCAGCGGACGAAGAGAACCATTTTGAAATTAAAATCATTCAATAGCAATTTCGTCAACACAATACATTTTAAAATAGAAACTTTGGGGTCAGTAACCACAGAAATGAGATAAAATTGTTACTTTGGCAAGGTTGACATTTGGGATGCTTTTTACACTATACCTATAAACGAACCGAGAGCCATTTCCGTTTCTTTTCCAATCGCTTTTGATGTGATTATACAAAAATAAAGCCCTATGATTTTAACTAAACTGTTGAAGCAAGTATTTTCTTTAAGAGCGTGGGGTCATTTAAGTTCAATTATTCATATCGACGACACATGTTTACAAAGTCTGTCATTGCTCTAAATATCAGTAAAACAATTGATTTATTAGACAAGTTAGGTTTGCCGATTTCAATGAGTAAATCTGTCTTGATTCCGTCGAAAAAGATTGTATTTTGAAATTTGTGCTGTGCACTATTAACGGAGGAAAATGTGTGCTGTGCACTAATATAATAGCATGCCGGCGAATAACGATTTAAAATTTTTCAAAAATTATTGGCAAACTGGTTGCAGCATCAACGGCTGACAAAAAAAAAGTTTTTTATTATAACGCCAGATATTTCGGAACATTTGCGATATACATCAATATTTAATAATATTACATCGCCTGACTCGAATAAAGTTTTGTTTACTGATTCTTCGGGACATATGTGAGGCGCGTATGATAAAACAGAAATAAGTGAACAAGCGGAAGAACAAAAGCAACACATCAAAGTGTTAGAATTAAAAGTGTGTCAAATACGGCTATTGTTGCCCTTTAAAAAACACCGAATCTCTATTTTAAAATTTACATGGACACAACTACGAGGAAAGAATATATTCATTGAATAACAAGAGCTGTCGGTAGGACAGCAACGCTCGACTATTCTTAGTGCTTGATAGTAAAAAAAAATGCTTGATAGAGTTACCTCCTCCTGTCTACTGGTTGGGGTCATGATGGTGAACAAGTGTGCAAAGTTTCAAAGCCATATGTCAATGGACTTTGAAAATATTTGAACTATTACAAAAACTTTAACTTAAATTCTAAGTCGAACAAGCAAATTCGTTGAATTTATATCCCCCGCCGGGTACTGGTTATTATTAACACAACAACTGAAGACATAAGGCTTTATTTATATATTAATCATGGCATAAACTGTAATATTCTTTGAACTTGAAGCCTTGTACCTTCAAACAAGAAGAATTTTTAAGTTTTCACTATACATATAAGGAAAATCTATGACCCCCTGGAGTGGGGCCAATTTTGACCCCAGGGCTAAAATTTGAACAATTTTGGTAGAGGACCTATATCCAGACAAAAATACCCAGGTGCACAACTACACATACTGATCAACATTCCTGTAAAGTTTCATGACTCTAGGTCAAATACTTTTTGAGTTACATGCCACACAAGTTGAAAATGACAAAATTTTACTAAGTCAAGGGCAATAACTCTAAAAATACTAAAAATATCCAGACGAAAATACCCAGGTGCACAACTACACATAGTGATCAACATTCCTGTAAAGTTTCATGACTCTCGGTCCAATTCTTTTTGAGTTACATGCGACACAAGTTGAAAATGACAAAATTGTACTTATTCAAAGGCAATAACTCTAAAACTACTAAAAATATCCAGCCGAAAATACCCAGGTGCACAACTACACATACTGATAAACATTCCTGTAAAGTTTCATGACTCTAGGTCAAATTCTTTTTGAGTTACATGCAACACAAGTTGAAAATTACAAAATTTTACTAAGTCAAGGGCAATAACTCTAAAAATACTAAAAATATCCAAACAAAAATACCCAGGTGCACAACTTCACATGCTGATCAACATTCCCATAACGTTTCGTTGAATTCCAGCCATCAGTTGCAGAGAACTACTCCGGAAACGAAATTCTAAGTCAAGGGCAATAACTCTAAAAATATCCAGACGAAAATACCCAGGTGCACAACTTCACATGCTGATCAACATTCCCATAAAGTTTCGTTGAATTCCAGCAATTAGTTGCAGAGAACTACTCCGGAAACGAAATTCGGACGGACGGATGGACGGACGGACGGACAGAAGGACGGACGGCCAAAAATACTCAGGTGCACAACTACACATACTGATCAACATTCCTGTAAAGTTTCATGACTCTCGGTCAAATACTTTTTGAGTTACATGCCACACAAGTTGAAAATGACAAAATTTTACTAAGTCAAGGGCAATAACTCTAAAACTACTAAAAATATCCAGACGAAAATACCCAGGTGCACAACTACACATACTGATAAACATTCCTGTAAAGTTTCATGACTCTAGGTCAAATTCTTTTTGAGTTACATGCAACACAAGTTGAAAATTACAAAATTTTACTAAGTCAAGGGCAATAACTCTAAAAATACTAAAAATATCCAAACAAAAATACCCAGGTGCACAACTTCACATGCTGATCAACATTCCCATAAAGTTTCGTTGAATTCCAGCCATCAGTTGCAGAGAACTACTCCGGAAACGAAATTCTAAGTCAAGGGCAATAACTCTAAAAATACTAAAAATATCCAGACGAAAATACCCAGGTGCACAACTTCACATGCTGATCAACATTCCCATAAAGTTTCGTTGAATTCCAGCCATTAGTTGCAGAGAACTACTCCGGAAACGAAATTCGGACGGACGGTTGGACGGACGGACGGAAGGACGGACGGACAACGCCAAAACTATATCCCCCTCCCGATTCCATCGGCGGGGGATAAAAAGGGGCATAATTCTGTCAAAATGCTTGATAGAGTTACCTCCTCCTGTCTACAGGTTGGGGTCATGATGGTGAACAAGTGTGCAAAGTTTCAAAGCCATATGTCAATGGACTTTGAAAATATTTGAACTATTACAAAAACTTTAACGTAAATTCTAAGTCGAAAAAGGGGCATAGTTCTGTCAAAATGCTTGATAGAGTTATCTTCTCCTGTCTACAGGTTGGGGTCATGATGATGAACAAGTGTGCAAAGTTTCAAAGCCACATGTCAATGGACTTTGAAAGTATTTGAACTATTATAAAAACTTTAACATAAGTGGTTACGCCGACGCAGACGCCGACGCAGACGCCGACACCGACGCTCGGGTAACTACAATAGCTCTACTTATTCTTATCGAATAGTCGAGCTAAAAATTAAGCGAGATATCTGGGATTGGTGTATTAAATAGGGAAAAAAAAACACAAAAAAACACGTTATTTTGTCAGCACATCATGATGTATTGGGGTCATTTAACCGAACGGCAACAAACTGGAACTGAAGGTCTCAAATGGAATATATCTCCCGATATATTCACAGCAATATGTTGGTCTTTGCACGTCTTTAAATAAAGATGTATTTGCAATTCGTTTAACCGCCAAGTTCCCGACAAACGTTTCAAGAAAACCTGACCCGGATGATTTTCAAAGTCAATTTTGCTATAGACGCTTTTTCATTCTCATGGCATGCTAAGGGTTAATATTGCTGTCCATCTTTCAGTGTAATTGCCAGGGTCCTGCAGAAAGTAGAAATAGATTAATTAGAAAGAACTATTGTGTTTAGTAGCACCAATTTGGCCTGCACAGATTTGGTGGCCGACATTTATACAACTTATTGTTGCACCATGCCTTCTACTACAACATTCTAAAGACTTACATTGTGCCATCGACCAGGAAAGAAACACGCATTAAAAAAGATGAGAACTGCGCATTTTCCTATATCATGGCAGCGCTTGAAGATAAAAGGATTTCAAAAATAAATAAATAAATAATAATAAAGGATCGGTAGATTTTAATCAATTCGTGGCGGGGGAAAAACAGGAAACAGCATGAAAGATATTTCATACAATGGTTTCATGTCTGTGAAGGGAAACACGATCCCTTTAAACCCCTTGTAGCAACAGTGATAGTTGTTTTTTTTATCTCAGGATAACTGATATTAAAGCGCGATGTTAAGATTACTTCGAACGTAGATCTCGGCGATAACACCCTGATATCGGGGTTTATGAAAGGTGTATTTAACACAAAGCCGAGGTATAAAATGATATGGGACGTGCGAACAGTTTTAGATATACACTTAACAAATCTTATAACTGTGCACGTATAAAAATCAAATTTTCTCAGATACTAATAAACATAGGTCTCTGAAATTTTAACCAAGTATAGTACAGATATGTGCAATGATGGGTATCGATTATTATGTCAGGGCGATTCGTATTTACTGAGAAATAGCGATGTGTGCAAGATTGCGCGAAAACCGAATTTCACATTTCTGTAAAATGCGTATTTATAATGGGTGCAAAAAGGTCTAAATCTCTTGATTTCACTAAAATACAAACATAAAACATAGGATCACCGATAGGGTATAATACTACAATGAATTCCAGGGCATTATGTCACTGTGATTTTAATATTTGCTTTATTGAATTTCAGTAAAGACTGGTTTATGTCGATCTCCGTAACGCGTTGTACCCAGTTACTAAAAGCAATGCAAACACGATATTTTCATTAATATGAAAGTACCAAGAAAGTTTGTTTTTAGTTTTAAAGTAAAATCTTAGTCAATATGTTTATTTGAGAAAATATTATGCAAATTTATTTTCAAAATGGGCGCCCGAAATGCAAATTCCCTTGCGTAAAACTTCTAGACGGCCATTTTTCTTTCAATTGCAAAAATTCTGCAATAAATTTATGTTTTTTGGATGTCTTTATTTTAATAGAATCCTTGATGGTCAATAATAACTTCATTTAGCGCCAACCTGTCATCCTCACGTGCACTTTGTTGTTTATGTCATGTCACGGATGAACGCACACAGCAAAAATAACCGTTATTTCTGAATATAGCATTGTAAAAATAAACAATTCAAACGATAAATTCCAAAATTTGGGTAAAAAATGTCAAGTAATAAAAAAGTTATTCACATTTAAAAACTGCACAGTTATAAGTTTTGTTAAGTGTTTTTTAAATAATACATTATCATTTTGGACTGGCTAATAAAGCATATTGTTTTTATTTTTGTCAGCTAAACGGTGTCAAACACTTCATCTTATTTGTTTTGAAGACATTAATATTTCAGGCGAAAGATTGATAATAAATACTCCAACATCGAAACCTGGTCGCCATCAGACACCGTTTCAAACATGATAAACGATTGTTTATTGTAAGTGTCATTAGTGAGTTTTTACAGAGAACGAAAGACCTTAGAAACACTAATAAATTACTGATATCAACCATTAAGCCCCATTGGGCCTATTTATCGCTGAATTAAACTAATTATGCACAGAGCTAAGGTGCATAAATCATTCAAACCACATAGCACGTGCGCTGCTGCGTCTTCAATCGCACACATGTGGAGTCAATTGAATCAGCGGGATGGAGCAATGCTAAGACATTCGCTAAATACTATAATAAACCACTGTCAAATACCGATGGAAATTCTATGCAGGGTATCATAGATATCGTTAATTTGCGCTAACATATATAAAAATTAATTACATTCTATGTCGTAGTATTCGACATTTACATTCTGTAAAATTAATAATTACTTAATACATAAAGACTTTTCTGACATGAAATTAAATCGTTGCATGTTCTCCATAATAGCATAATAGATATTAATCATGGAGTAAAACGGGACGTAATGTCGTTTCCATAATAGCGTCAAAAGGACTCTAAAATCTCTGTGGGGCCCATTAGCGAGTTTATATGTAGGATGAAATTATATGATTAAGCTAGACTTACCTGTAAGGTGAAGGTTAATCATGATTTCATCCACATAAAACTCACTAAGGGCTCACACACCCAACCCGCTACCTCCCCGTTTAAACTGTTCGTGATTCTTTTTGCCGATATTATTCGACATCACTTACTCTAAAATATGACCACTGGCTGCTGATCTTATCTCTGTGTGAGCCCTTAGTGAGTTTTATGTGGATGAAATCATGATTAACCTTCACCTTACAGGTAAGTCTAGCTTAATCATATAATTTCATGACTACATCAAAGGACAACACAGTAAGACACTTTGTCAAAATCTAGGTCAGCTGATATCAAAGTTCACTTTACATCTTAATCTGTGCACATGGTTCAAATTTCATAGCTGTACATCATAGGACAAGAAAGTAAAGGACAAGAAAGTAGGTCACATCATCAAAATCTAGGTTACCTGATATCAAAGTTCAATTTTACAACTAAAACTGTGCACATGGTCAAATTTCATTGCTGTACATCAAAGGACAAGAAAGTAGGTCACTGTCTCCTTGGGCAAGGCAAAATTTTGACCCAAGGGTTTAATTTGATACAGGTCCACTAAACAACATTTCAAGTCAAATATCTAAGCTGTATCTTTCTCCCATTCAGAAAATATTTGTTTTATTTTCTGTTTTTACTATGTGTACATAATGAGAATCACTGCCCCCGGGCAGGGCCAATTTTGACACCAGGGGAAAAATTTGAACAACTTTGGTAGAGGACCTATAGATGATATTATATAGCAAACATCAAAGCTCTATGCCTTGTGCCTTCAGACAAAAATATTTTTAATTTTTTTACTATATGTACATTATGAAAATCAATGAACCCCAGGGCGGAACCAATTTTGACCCCAGAGCTATAATTTGAACAATCTTGCTAAAGGTTCACTTCGCAAAGTCTCATGCCATATATTTAACCTCTAGCCTTTGTCAATTCAGAGAAGAAGATTTTTCAAGTTTTTACTTTATCCATAAAGGAAAACTATCGCCTCTGGGGCAGGGCAATTTAAACACAAGGGGCATTATTAAAACAACTTTAGTAGAGGAACCATAGATGATATTATATACCAAATATCAAAGCTCTAAGCCTTGTACCTTCAGACATAAAGTTTTTTAATTTTTTACTATATGTACATAATGAATTTCAATGACCCCTGGGGGCGGGGGCCAATTTTGACCCCAGGGCTATAATTTGAACAATTTTGCTAGAGGTTCATTTCACAATGTTTCATGCAAAATATCTAATCTCTAGCATTTGTTAATTGCTAGAAGAAATTTTTTAAAAGTTTTTACTATAATTTTTTTCCTATATACATATCAGGAAAACCAATGACCCCCCCTCCGGGCGGGGCCGATTTTGACCCCAGGGCTATAATTTGAACAATCTTGGTAAGGGTCTACCAGAAAATGCCTTATGCAAATTATCTAAGCTCTAGGCCTTTTGGGTCTTTACAAGAAGGTATTTTAAGTTTTTACTATATGTACATATAGTGGAAATCAATGATCCCCGGGGCGGGGCCGATTTTTACTCCAGGGCTATAATTTGAACAATCTTGGTAGAGGTTTACCAAACAATGCCTTATGCAAAATATCTAAGCTCTAGGCCTTTTTGGTCTTTACAAGAACATTTTTTTAAATTTATTCTTATTATTCCTTTTGATTGCAATGGCAACCAGATTTCTGCATGGAATGAAATTTTTTGAACAAATTTGGAAGCCCTTCACCTAAGGATCAATCCTGCCAAGTTTGGTTAAAATTGGACAAGTGGTTTCTCACAAAAAGTTTTTTAAGTTCACTATATAATCTATAGAGCACGAACACACACACCACACACACACACACACACACACACACACACACACACACACACACACACAGAGGTGAATCGGTAAATGCCACCGCATCGCAGATGCTGCGGTGACATAAAACAAAACAACAAGAGCATCGCTAGGCGGAGCATTATATGCCCGAAAGTGTTTTTTTTATATTACGGAGGAAGCATTTTTAAGACATTACATAAATTAAATAAAGTATTACCTCTTTCAAATAGCAATCCTCCTATAAAGTTTGAATATTGTGGACCAAGACACGCACACACACACACACACACACACATGTGAATCGGTAAATGCCACCGCATCGCAAATGCTGCGGTGGCATAAAAACAAAACAACAAGAGCATCGCTAGGCGGAGCATTATATGCCCGAAAAGGTTTTTTTATATTAAGGAGGAAACATTTTTAAGACATTACATAAATTAAATAAGGTATTACCTCCTTCAAATAGCAATCCTCCTATTAAGTTTGAATATTGTGGGCCAAATAGAAATTAATTTATGCTCCGGAAACTGTTTTCAGTTTTAAAGTAATAGTGACCTCGACCTTTGACCTTGTGACCCCAAAATCAACAGGAGTACTCTACCCAATATGGACAATCATCCTATGAAGCTTGAATATTGTGGGCCAAATAGACCTTAAGATATGCTCCGGAAACTGTTTTCAGTTTTAAAGTAATAGTGACCTTGACATTTAACCGTGTGACCACAAAATCAATAGGGGTCTCCTACCCAATATGGACAATCATCCTATGAAGTTTGAATATTGTGGGCCAAATGGAACTTAAGTTATGCTCCGGAAACTGTTTTCAGTTTTAAGGTAAAAGTGACCTTGACCTTTGACCTTGTGACCCCAAAATCAATAGGGGTCTCCTACTCAATATGGACATTCAGCCTATGAAGTTTGAACACTGTGGGCCAAATGGAACT